GAAAAAAATTGAGTATTAAATTTGGTAAGCACTTATATCACAACGCGTTTATTAGCTAGCCTTGTATATCCTGATATATAAGCTATATTAATGGTAAAGTTTCATGAAAATTCCGTTCAGTGTTTCTTATGAAAGAGTAACAAACAACCATCTGTACCTCACAAACTTCGTTTATAATATTATTCAATATAAAAGCAAAAATAGTAATCAATATTAAAAAATATATTAATGGATAGAGAAAAAGTATCACCGTTTTTCTCTATTTATTTAATAAAAATTTTTGTGTATCTACACACTAAAAGCATTACACAAACTACGAAGTCTTCGACATACAAACACATGCTAATAATAACAACAATCACAGACAATTTTATTACTAGCGCCATCTAGTCCTGCTAAGCCAGCTAAAGTTTAAAAGCTACGGTAAAAACAGATACATGCATAGATTGTACGTATGAGTGACTGAACCCGCGACCATCGACGTAAAGGTGTACAGACCGCTCGACCACTGGAGTAATGTCAAGAGCTTAACTAACTAGTTTTTTAACTACAAACAAGTTTATTGTAAGTATAGAAAAACATAACATAAAAACAGAAAACAAGGTAAATTTTCTGGATTTGGTACAGCGTACAATGAATAAAACTAAACGTGCCAAATAGCTCTTCTCTGATGGAATCAAGCACTTTTTCAGTACAAAATCCCATCTGTACCCTCTGCCCAGACGCTCCGCAAATAACTAAAATGCCATTATATATAATTCCAACTAAACTAAATCTAGAAAATAACTTGTATTTCATATTGTATATGATTCATTTACATGTATATGTATAATATACATTACATGTATATCATAAACTGTATAGTAAATATTGTAAAGTAAATATTGCTGACACCTCAGTGGTATAGTTGCTCCATCATTGACCAGTTTACGTCCGATGGTCGCGGGTTCGATTCCTCAAAAAATGGCAGCAGAAATGATTATATTCATGAGTATGATTGTTTGTATCGGCTCGTGCTTTCATATAATTACGTATGTATTTACAAAAAATATTCTGTTGTTATGTATCAGTTATCTACTACCTAATACAAGCTAGCTGAAGTTTAACTTGATGTATGTCAGTAAAATATATATATAGTAAAGATTTAATCTAATTTAATTATAAAATTATGAATTAAGTGACATTAAAATGTATTCAGAAGTTTGATATAATCGCTGTTTATTATTTTATACAGAATATAAGTTCTGATTTGACCATAACAATCCCACCTACCTACAGACTTTAAACAGAAACACCATATTGTGTGCACAGACCAGTCTGGTTTAGATGCTCTGAAGTGAAAGATTATGGTTAAAGAAGAAATTAATAGTCTTTATTGTTGCTGCTGCCCAAAATAATAGATACAGGTGTGGAGAAATGGAAGTACGATCTTGCTATTTAAAAAAGAACAGAATCTAAACTTGATGTTTACGAGTGTGGATAAAATGACGTTCATAACTCCTAAACGGAAACCGGAATGATTTCAATTATACTCTTATTTGACTTACATGGTAGGGATCAAAACTACTCACTATTAACGTAAATAAACTTTATTAATATTCTCAACGTGCACTGAGTATGTATTTTTTTATAATATGGGGACAACGACTACAATAATTGATGGTAAGGATTACCCCTGCAACACAAGGGGAATAGCAAGGCCGTTGTCGGCCTTTTAAAAAAGGAATAAGCCTACTTTTGAAGGTTTCAATATCGTATTTGTTCGGAAATACCATTGCTGGTTATGATTCCACAATGCAGTTAGTAAATGTATGGGTGCTTGTTAATTTTCTTCACGCAAAAACTACTTAATTCTTAATTTTTGATGAACCTGCTAATTAATATATTACATCTTATCCATCAGAATACGATGAGCTATAAATTTCAATCTGGTGAACCTCCAGTGTTTTCATATTTTGCCATAGTTTTGAGAAAATTATTCAGTTTCATAAACATAGTAAAAGTTTAGGGTTAGATTATCTTTATATAAAATTTTCGTGTCACAGTTTTCGTTCCTATACTCCACCTAGAAACGGGTTTTGACTGATTCTCATAAGAAATTTTTTTATGAGCGTATTGAGTAGGTTCGAGAATCTAAGCATGACTACTTTTTCATCCTTTGTAACGTTAGGGTCCACCCTTAAATTTTCTTTTTAAGGTAAAACAACGTTTGCCGGGACAGCTAGTTACATATATACATATTTCTATTTTAAAAGTAAGTACAAATTAATCAGACGAAGACTGTATAATCCAGTACAACATATTATAGGTATCACTTGTTCTTCTCTACAAGTTTAGAACATTGTTAATAGCTGAGTTATTGACATATTGCCTTCCAATATTAACTTTTGAGTTATTGAACTATGCAAACACTGGCGAGAATGATGATACTGTAAAACTATGGTAACACTCGGAATAGCAACTTTACAGATAACAAATCATGTAATTCACTGTCATACCGTGAACGGCAGCTTATGTGGACCGGTCTGTTCATGTCATTAACACTGATTAGATCTTTTGTTTTTTGCAATAACATATGCTTAGTGGTCACCTATTCTCCCAAATTTGAATTTAAAAATGAATCTGCATTATTGTAAAGTTATAAATTTATTTTGCAAACAATACGAGTTGAGTTTTTGTCAGTTCTTCTATATCGAAATCATTCCGAACTGATGGATTTGACATATCATAAGAGTCTGTAATAGACCTACGAATAAAGATGTTTTTAAATTTAATCGAACCCTGTTATTAACTCTTCTTTCTTTAGGTGCTATCTCCTATCGGAGGCGACTATTATGGCGATCTTTACCATGTCCGCGGCGGTCCCGAAAAAAGGGCCTGGTGCTCATCCCAAACCACTGCCTGAGTTGTTTAACCAGGAAGTGTGGCGTCTGCTCATTTTCGGTAACCTCAATTCTTCTTGTGCATTATTAATTGCTGAAGAACTGTATTTTTCTATTGCATTATGTGACCCAGGTATAGCTATGTTATTACTAGATATAGTAAAAATAACATATTATATATTTTTTATTGATTAACTAATAATGAAATAAACAAATTAAAACCTATACTATTCATTACATAGTATAAAACAAAGTCCCTGTCGCTGTCCGTACTTCCCTATGTATGCTTAAATCTTTAAAACTACGCAACGGTTTTGAAGCAGTTTTTTATTAAACAGATAGAGTGATTTAAGAGGATGTTTTATATATATGTTGACATGTACACCCTGGGAAGCCGGGGCGGAGTAATGTTTACGCAGCATAAAACAAAGTCGCTGTCGTTGTCCGTCCGTATGTATGTTTAAATCTTTAAAACTACGCAACGGATTTTGAAGCATTTTTTTTTAATAAATAGAATGATTCTACAGGATGGTTTATATGTATAATACATGTATATAATAAATTACTTGATATATAAATTACTAGTTGTCATTCACAAACGACAATACATATACAAACTTATATCACCTGATATAGCACTAATAATTGTTAATTATGCTGTGTTATGCTAATGAGGAATTATTAAATATTGCGGTATATTACTCACGTTTGCTTTTATACCGTGAGACGGGGTTGAAGTTGGAGGGAGTGAAGGCTGGGGAACAAATAACTTATATATAGATAGAGATGCCTTAATTGTGTCCCTCTATAATAGAATACAACTGAGATTGTTGTCCCAATAAACGTATCACTTTTTCCATTTATTATATAATCATTCTTTGCCTGCGGCTTCTGCTCGCGTTAATTTAATGCCTTTAGGTGGAATTTATCAAAATCCTTTCTTTATGGGATGTCGAAGGTCGCAGTAGACGTATGCATAAGTCAGTGCCCGACTGGTTTAAAATTGATGTGCTCATACAAATTTTATCCCTATTTATCCTTTGGGAGAATTAAATCAAACTTATCCTTAGCGAATACCTACGTCATAATATTTACCTGCATGCCAAATTTCAGCCCCATCCGTCCAGTGGTTTGGGCTGTAAAAGGATAAACTTCATTATGTTAGTCACCTTTGAGTTATATATATACCAGTTTTAATAAGTCAATAATCTCAGGACAATTATTAACAGCGCTATCTATAATCTGCCAGCTAGATAAAGCTCATAGCTATGGGTACCAGATAATCAATAAGCAAGGCAGACAATTTTTTTCGTTAATACATACATAATATAAATAGAAAATACCCAGACCGATACAAACAATCATACTCATGAATAAAAATGTTTGTGTCGTCCGAGGAATCGAACCCGCGACCATCGGACGTAAAGCGGTGTGCTACACCGCTAGACCACCGAGGTCGTCAAATCTGTAATGAAAGACTTGGACGCTGAGCATAGTCCTGGTTTACAATGTAAATGTCGCACAGGGAACGATTGAGAGAGCTACACTCGGAGTTTCTATAAGGGACAAATGTCCCTTATAGAAACTCCGAGTAGTTCGAAAAAACAAATGTTTTTTCGAACTACTCTAATGCTGTTGGCCGCAACTGGGCTTTACAGCTTCACCAGACCATAGGGGGCGAGTGCTGATGGTACTCGAAACCCGCGGAAGGACTTATGGAGCTGAAGGCCAATTCCCGCCTGACGCATACAATTTTAGTCTGAGGGCACCGTTAGGGGTTCGAACCTCGGCTCAGGCGTCATAGCATCGGTCCCCATTTGAATTGGACGGGGGATCGATCGGAATATAAGGGACATGAATCCATGATGATTTCTATACTACTATGGTGGCAAACAAGCATACGGCCCATCTGATGGTAAATGGTTACCGTAGCCAATTGACGCCTGAGACACTAAGGGTCTCTCGAGCGCGTTGCCGACCCTGAAGATACCTTAACATTATATATTCAAATCCGAATCTAAATAAAACCCTAATCCAAAAACGAAAACAAAAAGATTGTTGTTATTCAAAATTATTTTCTGTTTGTTTGTTGTTTTAAAAAATCTGTTTATTTCATTTTCATCAAAATTATTATCCTTAAATTAAATCCTTCAATGAAAACAAAACCCTTTAATTAAAAATTATCTGATGGTTTACATTCAACGGTGAATTTTTCGCGTAATAACCCGACAAAAAAATACCCCCGAATCGAGATTTTCTGCTGTAATCGGATATAACAATAAATAACTGTTGGATATAGAAACATTCATATTTCAACATTATTATTACCTTCAGATCACTGGGTATGTACTTAAGCAAAGTGTGTATTTATGTACTATATTTTATAACTATCCATATATGGGTTACTTGTGTTACCAAAAATAAAAACACGTTTATACCACAGTAACAAGTTATAGCTGCTGCATAAATATCTATAATAAATCATCTACTATAATTACAATTGTCTTATTATAATGGTTCAAAGACAAACTATTGAAATGGCTGAGAAATAAGTGTTTTTCTTATTGAAAGATTATTTTACATGCAAAATGATGACATAATATAAATTGTTATTGTTGTTAATATCATAAAAAATAAGCCGATATTAAATAATACACAGTACAGTATACAGTTTTAAAAAAACACCACAAAGAATACTTATTAAAAAACAAATTTTAGGCATTCCACATAAATTTCTTAGCTAGCGGTTGCAATCTCACGCAAAGATTATTAAATTTTGTTTTTTTTTTCTTTTTAATATTTTCTTTTTCTCGATTAATCCTTACTACTTAA